CCCCAAAACCCCAAAACCCCAAAACCCCAAAACCCCTGGAGATATTTTAGGAATTGGGGCTTGTGAGATTTAATATTTAAGTATGTTGGGAGGGTTTTTGTATGGTTGTATGAAGGTGTTGGGGACAGCCCTGCTTGCCTTTGGGATCTATCTGGGCTATTTTATAGTGATCAAGCCTTATCTTTGGAGGAAGAAGTATCAGAAATATTCTAATGTGTTGGTTGGTGACAAGTTCATTCCCGTTGTGGGAGACTCGATTAAGGAACTTAATAGTATTAAAGCTAACAAAGTTCATTATGCACATTATGAAGAAGATGCTCATATCACTAAAAAGTATGACCTTATGGCCAAGCTAGAGGGTTCAGTCCCCGTTATATTAGTCCTCAGTAGCAGAGCAACACAGGAGTTTTTACAGCTTCAGAAAAGATCTCTCATCGATAGATATAACACTTACAGAGGACTTCAGGTGATGTTGGGAAAATCTATAACTCCAAGAGCTACCACGCCTGATGTCGTCCAGAGAAGGAAGAATATGACCCAATGGCTTGGACTCAATGCTTCCTCACAGTTTATTTCTAGAATGATACAGCTCTGTAGAGAGACTCAAAAGGCCATCAGCAAGGTAAGATCTTTCTTTCCTTAATATACACTCATTACTTTTGGTATTTAGTGAGGAAATTAACATTTTTTTATAGCAGAACCAAGATGTGGATATCATGCATCACTGAAATATCTGGACATTCAATGTTCTTACCCAGATCATCTTTGGAGAAGACTCATCTAAAGTAATCAATAACTTCTATCCATACATAAACAGTGACGGATCTGTTGAGGAGATTAACCTGAGAGAAATGCTGATTAGGGTTGCAAAAGTGTACCTAGATCAACACTTTAGTCCATTTACCAACATGTTTCCTATACTGAGCAAGTATAAATTTATTAATCCTTACAAGAGAGATTACAAGAATCTTCAGACATTTGAGAAGGCTATTCATCACATCATGACTACATCTAAGGATACTTCCTCTGTTGGGAGCAAGTTCTTTGCCAACAAAGAATGCACAGATGAAGAGAAGGTGGGAGATATCATTCTCATCTTGGTGGGAGGAGCTGAAACTACCGCTCATGCTATTGTATCCAGCCTGTATCTGCTCCAAAAGAATCCTGAAGCTCTTCAAAAACTCAAAGATGAACTCACCAACAATGGATTGACCAGAAATGAAGATTTTGAGAAGAACTGCACTCTTGAAAATATTCAAAACTGTACATATCTTAATTGCGTCATTAAAGAAACTTTGAGAAGGGAAAATCCAGCATCAGGTAAGTCTAGACCTAACTATTTATTCAATCAGTCACCTTCGAGTACAAAGTCAAGCAGGATATCCAGATATGTGGAGTGCCAATCCAGAAGAACGAAGACATCAGACTAGACATCATGGCTTCAAAGTTTGACGATGACAAGTGGCTGAACCCTCATAATTTTGCCCCTGAAAGACACGACCCAGAATCAGAATTTTATCAAAACGCAAAGAAGCTAGGTAAAGCATACAAAATCTTTGAAACGATCCGTCAAAGATTTTTCGTCTATGAAGCCCCTCGACTCTGAGTAGCATCCTGAAAGTCATAAGAACTTAGAGAAGCTATTGCTCCTAACTCTAGAGAGATTCTTTAATGAGCTGAATCATATCAGTCAAGATGCATAAGTAGCGATTTGTATTAAAAATTAGTTGATGCGCCAATGCAAATCAGAAGTTTCATTAACCAAAAGAAATCTGCTAGCTTTGTCTGACATAAAGTCATAGCAAGACTCTCAACATTCTGATGAGTTGTTTTAAAATCTTTATGAGCCTACTAGTGTGCTTTATTAACACAAAGCTCTAAAGAAACTCTTTGCTTTATTTTTGGCTAGGGAAACCCAATATCTTTTGAAGTAGTTCATAGAAGTAACTCTAGCCTGCTTTCAGCTCTTTAACTATATGCTATAAAATTTGGACTCTAGTGTTTGAAGAGGAGACGTATTCGACAAATTATTTTCTGGAGTACAAAGAATGTATAGCTTCCTTCTTTATTAACTTTTAAAATGGAGATAGGATTTGACTTACTCACTAAATCAAAATTAAATTTAAATTAATAACATCTTTCAAAAATTTTGAAACTTCATTAGTAGAAGTTAGTCTCCAAAGAAGACTGGAGAGTGCAAAATTTTCTAACGATTCTTATAGGCAAAGTAGCTGATGCGTACACTATGAGACCATTCAGTCTTGGGAATAGAAACTGCCCAGGCCAGTCCCTTGCCATATTAGAGCTGAAGGTGTTCTTAGCCTACTTCGTCACCCACATTAATTGGGAGTTCTCACAGGAAGACTTACAGCACGAAGGAATTGGCTTCGCAATGGGGACTCAATTTGAGGCAAAGATCAAGGTTTCATCTAAATAGAGAGATATTGGTGAAATCTTGATATATTCAGAAATATCCATAATGAAAAATTCATTATTCAAGATTCCAATAGGTGAATCGACCAATGGGGTTTTGGGGTTTTGGGGTTTTGGGGTTTTGGGG